AGTTGGCACTAAGTATGGAAATAACTTCATCTTTTCGGTAAATGCAATAGCATAATCATCAATGCTCAATTTACCTTTCTTAAGGTTCTGGAATTCATTATTCAGATCAATCAGATCTATCTCTGAGCAGTATTGCATCTTTAACTTCTCCAGTAATGATTCCCAAGACATCCTCAGGGCTTCCCCTCGAGGCATCATATCTGCCAGTAACTTCCACCAGCTCAAGACTACGGTCTTCAATTGTCTAACTGCAAAGATAGTCTTCTATTTGTTACTACAGTCGCAACTCTCAAACACAATCTCCATTTCGGAGATCCAGTCCATAATCTCAACAGGCTTTGGGCTTCCAGAAAGACTTGGCGGCTTGGCGCCCAAGAAATTTTTATACATACGTCCATCCCTGTTTCTTTCCCTTTCCGGGTCATTCCTTTCTGCCACTAGGGGTTCTGCTTGTCCAACAGTCCCGCTGTAGTTACCTCCCTTCGATGGCCCTCCATTCACTTCGGGCTCTTCCACTTGAAGTGACATTATGTTGGAGTAATCTCCTTGTCTCCTCCATTTGGCGATCCAACATCATCTGCATCATCGCTTGCACCCCAGCCATCATCATTGGCTCTGGTGTTGTTGCTACAACAGGTGCTTGCTTAATCACAGGTGGTTGATTCCTGTCTTCGTTCACGTTTCCAACTCCACTTCTGGTTCTTACCATTTTTGATCTACACACCGAATATGGTGAATTCGGATCCTAAATCACGATAGATAATTAATTCCTCCTTATCACCCCGAAACGTTTACATACTAGTTCTAATATCGTAGTCGTAAGCTTAGAATCCTAAACACACAAGGTTTCCAGATCTGGTCGGCAACAAACTATGGATCTGAACAAATAATAGCATTGATATAGCTATCTCACAAAACATTTAGCACATAAAAACATCTTAGGCATCATTCCTAAAATAAACTAGTGCTTTTGTCAATTTAGGTGTATTACCTAACATTTTTTTTTAGACACACTCCTCAGAATCATTACTGAGCATTCTAAGTTTAAGTCTAGAAATTTCCTACAAAATTCCTAGTTCACTTAAACTAATGCTCTAATACCAACTGTGACATCCCCAATTTCACGGCCAGAAAAGACCGATTTGTTTATGCTTGTTTTTAAAATCAAAGTAATCTTTTAAAGAAAACAGTTGCGGAATTTGTTCACAAAACAAGATATGATAATAACTTATCAAAACATTTCTCAAAGAGAATGTATTTTTATTTAATAATAAAACCTCGGGATATCATGTTCCGATACAAACATATAAGCATAAACAGAACTTACATTCAATTACACTAATGATTTATATCTCCTTTAAATCTTTCTGTGAAATATGTCTTCATATCGATACCTGTAATACAAAGAAAACTGAGTGGGTCAGACTTGGGAGCCTGGTGAGCATATAGGGTTTTCATCCCACAATGTTATATCATATATTTATAAATATAGAACATCCAAAATTGTACAATTTCACCATATAAAGGCAACTCTTATCCCACCCCATCGATCCTCACAACTACACGATCTAAACTCTCGTATCTAAAATTTTCCTCTTTACCCGATCCCTACTCACGGATCTAAAACTATTATCTTCACCCGATCCATACTCATGGATCTAAAACTAACCTTTTCACCTGATCCATACCCACGGATCTAAAACTAACCTTTTCCCCTGATCCATACTCACGGATCTAAAACTAACCTCCTGATCTGATCCATACTCCCGGATCAATAATTGTACCCACTCCATACTCCCGGAATAGGGACAATTAACTATACCTTAATCCTGATCTGATCCATACTCCCGGATCAATAACTGTGCCCAATCCATACTCCCAGACTAGGGACAATTAACTTAGTCTTAATCCATACTCCCGGACTAATAACAAGTTTTATCTCTTTACCTGATCCATACTCCCGGATCTAAAACTAAACTCTTGGTCTAATCCATACTCACGGATCTAAAACTAGCCTCTTGATCTCATTATCCAACTCATCCTTTTATCACACACCAACTATCTCATCTACCCATGTTCTACCCAACATATTTGTAGATAAAAAATACATATACAGTTTAACTCATTTAAAAATTATATAAAACATCCATTCCACACTAATCTCAAATAAAATACAACAATATATAAACACATAACACGTATTTTATAACAAATACTTCATATTTATGTGTTAGAAGAATATAACCACACACTCACTTGATTAGAAGATGACTAGACAATATTACGACTTGTAAAAGTAATATTCTTCGGTAGATATGGAAGATCTTCACAAAAACCAGGCTCTTTGAGGGCAGAGCTTCGACTCAGGAATCGCACTTCTCGGGATCTTCGGGGCTTCGGGACTTGATTTGGGTCTCGGGAATGATACTAGGGCTTCGGGATATTTCTTGCATGAAGAACGATGCAAAAACGCGAGAGAAAGGGAATAAATGAGCAAAGAAACTCGACAGCCTCGACTTCCTTTTATAGGGACTAGAACCTTCGATTACGCTCGGCGTAACCTAGATAAGCCCGGTGACTCCCTCCCTTTGGATAATATCCGGATTTTTTATTTAAATTAAATACCTTAATTATTTAATAAACTTCAAAAATTCATGTCTTCCTCATACGAGCTCCGTTTTCAATGTTATTTATATCCCCGTGTAGGCGAGACTACGATCTATAACTTTCGTTTAGACTCCGTCGGCTAATTTTGACTTTATTTTTATTATTTATTTTTAGTAGGCCAGGAAAACTCCGTTATAAATTCATAACTTCTTCATCCGATGTCCGTTTTCGCCTATCTTTTTATCGTTTCATTACTATTAACGAGATCTTAGATTGTCATTTAGATTGTTTCGGCTAAAAACCGCTTGGTCTCAAATCGAGTATTCAGGCTGCATACCGCAAAGTCGAAACTTAGAAAAATCATAACATCCTCATACGAAGTCAGATTTGGACGTTCTTTTTATGCACGCTCATGGTTTAACGAACTCTACGAATTTCGTTTAGATTGCTAAGGCTAAATATCACTCTAACGTAAATTCACTTTTTACGTCATTCAGCTTCGTGCCGGTTTTGTCGCGAAACTTCGATAGGTCATAACTTCTTCGTTATAACTCAGATTTTGGCGTTCTTTATATGCACAGAAACCTTGTAACATATACTATAACTTAGTTAAGATTATTCATTCTAAATAATATTTCATCAAAAATTCATTTTTGACACCTATCGTCCCTAAATTGACTAGCCCGGATCTACGGGCGTTACAAAAAGGGGGTGTGAATTTGGGATCAATGTAAATGGATGTGTGATAGGGGTTTTAAATTAGGATCAATGTAGGTTGGTAAAGGGAAACCGATGAAAATCATTAAATGACTAAAAGAGGAAAACGTGAGGCATCTGTGTAAAACAAAAGACATTGGGCATAATGTTTTTTTTTTAATTATTATTATTATTATTATTATTTATTTAGTTGGGGGCTTTTTATGGAAATAACCCTAATTATAATCTTTTTCTTCTGAAGAAAGATTTGAACAACAAAACACCATATTCGTTCCGACATCTAACATTGTTGTGCAATGATTAAGATGTGTAGATATTCTGCTATCAGAATGAGAAACATAAACAAAAGAAGAAAAAGAGCCTAAAGTCATTGACATATCAAAGAAACTTTTGGGGTTTGGGCTTTTCCAGAGCCCAGAGAAGCAGGTGGGGTAGGGGTTTGGGATGTCTGTAGGTGAATGTTGGAGTCGGAAACGATTGGGGGAAAGAAGATAAGACGACGATAGAGCATACCCTTTACTGGTAGCCTCCTGCTCAACTACCAACAATGATGGGTGATCGCCTTGTTAGGAGCATACCCATTACTTGTGGTAGGAGGTACAAGGGTGGTGGTGATCTTAATGGAGATTGAACAATGGAGGTGGAAACAGACAATGACCTAACATTGCTAGGGCATTTGTTAACAATTTTATAGAATGACCCCCGAAGTTATGAAAAATAAAGCAAAGAAATTAAAAAAGGGTGTAGTGGTAATTTCACATGCATTTTAACGATGGAAAATGACAAGATTAAGTCCCCAAATATCTGATTGTTACAAATACTTTCAATAGGGTCCATCGGTGTTAAAACTCAATATAAAGACCAAGAATGTTAAAAACTACCAACGACAAAAACTAAAAATTTAATGTACTATAGGTTTTAATATAGGATGTCATTGTGCTGGGGGTGTGGCATTATGGCCTCGACATGGCTAAGGTGGCCTCTGTGCACACCGCCCCCCCTTGACCTCGACATGATGAGGTGAGAAGCCCTTATTGTTGACCAATTATCGAGTCTTTTTCCTCTTTGATTTCTTCTTAGGGATGAATTTTTTAACTGAAAAATCGAACCGAACTAGAATCGAACAGTGGTATTCAATTTGGTTTTTGGCTTTTTTGGTTCCGAACACCTTGTTAGATAGCACATTTCTTAGTAGAATCAAACCGAACCAGAACCAAATATTGGTATTTGGTTCGATTCTCAATTCTTAGTTTATGATTTATTTAGTTTTCGGTTTTGAACCTAATTTACACGACTACCGTTGGTGATTTGTATCACTAGTATTATTTAAGTGTAATGTGATTAATTTGTTGATTAATGTTGCATGATAAATATTAAACAAGTTAGGTTGGTGCAAAGTACATATTTGTTTAATTTTGTTTTGGTTGAAAGTACACTGCTATTTAGGAACGAAACCTTTAAACTAATGGGGGTCTGGAAGCAACACCCTAGGAGCGAGGTCCAAGGGGTAGCAATCCCTGATGAGGTAGGTCTAAGGGGCAGAGCCCTGACAGGTTATGGTGGTCGTGAAACTGTTTTATGACACTTTTATGATAATTTTGCTTGCCAGTTTTCAACCAAGGGTTATATGCCTGATTTTTTTTTTTTTTTTTTTTTTTTATTTTTTTTTATCAATTTTCTGATACACATAATATCATATCATCTTCTTCGATCCTCATTCTCTGTTCTTGTAATATTGAGATTTTTGAATATACCCTTGAAAATTTTTAATCTAAACAGCTCTCAGCTAGCCAAGTCTTTCTAATACCTGCTTCTTGTCCCCCGTTGGGTAGCCCACCCCCTCACTTCTTTGTCTCTTGGATATTCATCTTCTTTGCTAGAGTGGAAAGATCAGTATTCCCCTTAGCCTTATAAAAATCTTGTTGATATTAAATTTATTATTTAATGTGTGTGAATATTAATTTCTAACTGTTTATTAATAAGCGTGATAAACATATAACGATAGTTCGTTATGCAAATTACGATTTATTTAATGTTAAAAAACTTAGAACTTAAGGCATATATTTTTCTACTCAAGAAGCAATCGTCAGCCATAAAGGCATAAACTCATCTTGAGAAACAAAATTGAGAAAACTGCGGCTTGAATTGATATCCGAATCTTTGATACTTCCGTTTACATCTCGATTTCGGATTGCTTAGACAAGAACAATAAGAGAGTCAACTATGGGAATCGTCGGAAATCTGAGTTCTGACCAGCTTCAGTTCTTCAATTCTCAAGGTACTAGCTGCTTCTTCTTCTTCCTCCCCCAAACCCTAACTTCTTTTCCCTTGTTGGATTTTAACTTCAATATGCGCTAATATCGCAGGGTATCTTGTTATCGAATCTTTCTCGAGTACTGAAGAGGTTGAAGCGTTACGAAAGAGGATGGACCAATTGCTTGACGGCTTTGATTGCTCTTCCTCCGCCTCAATTTTCTCCACCAAGAACCAGGTCCATTTTATTGCTTCAAGTTTTTCAAAACTTATCAACATGTTTGATTGACGTCATAGATTAAAAAAACATTCATTGTTAACTTCCACTTTCTTCATGCTATGTTGAATTAGGGAATATTCCAAAAATTAACAATGTTTCTGATTCAAATCATGATAAAACCCTATTGAATTTTGGGTCAACATGACTTATTCGATAAAACCGTATTCTCCCCAATTGAATAACCTTTCGCTGTTTATTTGTCCTTCAGCAAAGGACAAGCGATGACTACTTCTATGACAGCGCTGATAAGATCTCCTTTTTCTTTGAAGGTATATACATGATTCAATTGATCTTTCTAACTATTAATCAAATCATCTAAACATGTTTCTCTTTGACAGAAAAAGCATTCGATGACGATGGAAAGTTAAAGCAACCAAAGCAGCTCTCTATAAACAAAGTCGGCCATGGTATCCGCAAAAAAAAAAAAAAAAAAAAAAAAATTTTTTTTTTAAACAAACATGTAAATTCACCACTTTTAATCTAAATATCATGTTTCTTAATCTCCCTTTATGTAGCTCTACACGATCATGATCCCGTTTTCAAAAAAGTCTCTTGCTCAGATAAAATGTCAGGCATATTACAATCATTGGGATACAAAAGGCCAGTAATCATTCAGTCGATGTACATATTCAAGGTATATTATCCATTAAGAACTTTTTCTACACATTTAGTATTTAATTTTTTAATTTTTTAATTTTTTGTGATTTCAGCAACCAGGTATAGGTGGTGAAGTGGTTCCTCACCAGGACAATTCATTTCTATACACCGATCCACAAACTTGCACAGGGCTATGGCTGGCTCTAGAAGATGCCACCATTGTTAACGGTTGTTTATGGGCAATTCCCGGGTCCCACAAAAGTGCGTATTTTTTTAAAATCTTTTTTAAAATCGATTCGTAATATTTTAATGTTAAAAAAAAAAAAAAAAAAAATTCCAGATGGCCTTGTGAGACGATTTTTGAGAGATGATAAAGGCGTTCACTTTGACAAGCCCTCCCCATCTTATGACCAAAATGACTTTGTTTCCATTGAAGTGAAAGCTGGATCTTTGGTGCTCATTCATGGTGATCTTATTCATCAAAGGTTGTTTTTTTTTAATAATTACAAGAAGATATTTTTTTTTTTTTAAAACTTATTGAGCTTAATAAAAAGCATTTATGGTTTATGTATATAACCTCTTAATCTTGGTTGTTGTTATTGCTGTTTGTCAACAGCTTTGAGAATCAATCCTCAAAATCAAGGCATGCTTATAGTTTGCATGTAATCGATACAGAAGATTGCAAATGGGCTGCAGATAACTGGTTTGTGTTTTTTTTTCTTTAGAATAAATCTTTAAAATTTTATAAATACGACATTTTTGTGAAGTTTTTATGTAGGATGAAAATCTTGAATGTGATGATGAGGTTTTTGATTTCAGGATTAGAAGGAATGTGGATCCTGAGCCCCTATATGTATCATAGTTTTGAGATCTCTTTGATCTTAACAGTGGAATTATATGCACATTTTAGTATGCATACTTTTTCTGGGTATGTTTGTAATAATAATATGCTACGAGATCTTCCTTTAATTAACTGAAACATGTTGTAGGAAATCTTGGCATTTGTTGTTTAGAATATTTCAGTGAATATTAAACAATATTAAGATACATGTTTATTTTTTCGAAGTTAAAAGTTATACCAAATTTCTAAAAAAATCACTTGGAAAAAAATGAAAGTTGAAGAGGTTTGAATACCTGTAGATGTTTTGTAGTTTGAATCATTCCAAAAAACAAATTATTACGAAATGACAAGTATTGAACATACGCTGTGTCGCACAACAGATAATGGTTTGAAGAAAATTTTCTAAAAAAATAAACAACCTCTAACAGTAACCTAATTTCGGCCACAAAAACTTACTTTTTTATTTTCTTTTTGGAGCGATAGAAAGTTCATTGCAAAACTAGAAAAACGCTACTAGAAAAAGAACACTCTAAAGATGAAATAACAAGTATAAAAAAACATATGTGAATATAAAGTGTTGTTCAAAGGTTTATATAAACAACAAAGAACATTAAAAACAAAAAAGTCAGGGAGACAATGACAATTTGTATTAAACTATCAACATAATCTAAGAAAGGTATTAAAATAAAAACGAAGAATACTATTGTTCTGATCTTAACTCATTTCCTAATGTCAGCTTAGATTATCTAGACTTTTATCGTGGTGGACCATATCAACCTAAGATGCCCAATTATATTTTTGAAGTAATGAAGGGTAGTAAAGAAAACAAAAAGAGGGAATGCAAAACGATCTTGGGCAATTAAGGCAAGTAAAAATGCTCTCATAGTAGAGTTCCAAAATGATGAAATGAGCTGAAGATATTAAAAAAATATTGGAGCAAAGCGAATTTCTAATGCCATTATATACTACTTTAAAATTATTGAAGCCCAAGACAATATTGAAAATGATATAGAAAATGCCAAGATTTCATTGGTGGTAAAATATTATATTCTAATTAATGTAACATGCGGTGTAATATTTCTGATGAGTTTTGAGAAGTTAAAAACGATTTTTATATATATATTTTTTTATAAAACAATTTTGAAATAATTATTATTTTAATACCATTTTAAACAAAACCACAAAAAATCCAACTGCATGATTATATAAAGATTGTAAACAACACATAAGATTTTTAGAATACACCATTTTAAGATTTTGATTCCTCATAGCAATTAAGAAGCTGATCAAGATGACAAAAGCCCAAAATAGAGCTTCTCTGTAATTTATCCACCAATAAGATTAAGTCACAAAGAATGTTAGTTTTCTTCTTGTAAAAATACTTCTCAAGCTTTTAAGTATTTATTACAATTAAGTACTAAAGAAGAAGCACTTCCACAACAACAAAACTCTTTACTAGCTTCAAAGAGAGCAAGAAGGGGATTGATAGGGAAAGCTACGAATTTTATAAGAAAAAATAGAGAAAAATTAAACACCAAATCCAAAATGGAGGCCTTACTCTATCTTTTATACTTTTACACTTGCTATCTAAGACCCATGCTTTCAACTAATGTAAAAGGGTTTCAACTTAGAAGCATGATGCATGTAAAAACTAGTCAAACAAACAACACACACCCATTTTTGGCGAGTTATGGCTGAAAATGAGGAGAGAGATAAGATGGTTAAGTGTCTTATAAACAACACACACCCACCCTTGGTGAGTTATGGCTGAAAATAAGGAGAGAGATAAGATGGTTAAGTGTCTTACACACATCTTATTAAACTAGTGTATATAGAAGTTTAGTGGAATCCTAAGTTTTCAAAAACTTGTGCATAACATATTTAATCATAGCATATGATTAAATAACTAATTATACTCTTTAAAATATTATTTTTCATAAAATAATAGTTTCCTAAAATTATTTTCACAAAATGATAATTTTACTTCAAAATTAGAAACAAGAATTGAATATATTTATTAATAATCGAATTCTCAATAAATAATAAATAAGTGACAACTTGCTAAATGTGTGACGCTATAGAATCATATATTATTGGCAAACATCATTGAAAACTAACTCTTGAACATATAGATTCAACAATATCTAACTTAGTTTCCTTTATACAATAAAAGGTGCAAATACACACACACACAAACACATCATAATTGTTCATGATGTGCATAGAACATCTTAGTTATTTGCTTATGATATAAAAAACGTTCAACATTTATGTTAGCTGGTACTAATGATTTCATTGCCACCGTGAATTTATCATTACTTAACACTGTTGTCCTTCTACAAACAAATACATTGCAATCTTGTCTCATACATCAAATCCTTATCTTAAAATATAAAATATAATATATTACTATTAAGTGGAATGATAACTAAAAAATTATCGTATGTGGTACCTACCATCTTTACATACTTTTTCGTGTCCGCATTGTCATCATCATCCTCAACCTCAACCTGTGCTTCCTCAACCCATAAATGATCTCATCTCCCTTATTCGGGAAAACCTTTTCATATTTATTTTCATATTTAGCTCAACCTACATGGCAACATTGTGGCTATAATGGTGCCTAATCCAATATTATGGCATCAATATGATCTTTGTTACACCCTCCCCATATAAACCAAGACCGATGGGGATAACTACATCTTCTCGTGTACCAATGAGTTCCTAAAAAATGTGACTACTAACTATTTTGTGATTAAAAATTATGTAGTATTTATAATTAATGTCAATATCGAAAGTACCTTAGATGGACATATAAATGTCAACATGGCTCCCACCAAAGTTCAATATGTTGTTGCCACAGTACAACACTTAATATAAGCTCGTTAATTAGTCTTGTGAACTCAATAACTATTTTGTAAAACATCTTCTATATCGAAATCTATGAAATCATACAATAACAAACATTAACCAGCCGATTACCGTTTTAGTAAACCTATAAATCATTAATTTAAAGTAGGTTTACCTTGAAAACACACATTTGTTTATGGACATTATACACTATCATATCCTTTTCTTATTTGTACATATCACTATTGTTTTCTTATCTATTTATTTCGGTTTATATTTTGTATCCTCCACCGTATCAATTGCTAAACATATTTAATTACGTGTATCTTTCCATATATATATATATATATATATATATATATATATATATATATATATATATATATAAAATCTCCATGAGTAAAGAGTTGATGATGATAAAAAACATTATAAAACAAAAAAATATTTTATGAATATAATATATATCCATGTATCTAAATTGTCTACAACCAAAATGGTTTGTGGTTTGACCCACAAATTACTTTGTATTTCCATAAGGTCATACTTTGATATACTTTGATATGTAAATAAGATACAAACATACAAAATCCCAACACATGTAAATATACAAAAAATGGGAAGAAGGTTTAACAGGGAACCAACATGTCCTAAACTCGTTAATATTATCCTAATCCATTAACGTACCACTCCCACTTTTCATATCCGACATACCGGTGACGAAGCTTCAATCTTTCATTGGGTTGGGGGGGGGGGATATAATTCGTATAAAAAATGGTGAACAGAGGGGGTCATAGTCAAAATTTTATATTTTGGGCATAATATGTTAAAACTAAAGTATTGAGACTAATTCTGCGAAGAAAACCAGGGGGCCACAATCTTTCGTAGCCCTATATAAGATCCGCCCGTACGACATAGATACAAAGCAATGCACATAAACACACATACATATGCACCTAAATCATACACACATGCTCATAGATACATATACATATAATACACATGCTCATGTATATACACATATTATTATTATTTTATTATTTAACTTTGTTGTGATTAAACCTTATACTCACTTGCACACGCACACATATACATACCAAACCTTAAACCATATACACATGTTGATACATATATACACATGCATGTATACACACACACACACACACACACACACACATATATATATATATATATATATATATATATATATATATATATATATATATATATATATATATATATAGGGAAAAAGGAATATACATAACAGCCCCATCTAAGCTTAGGTACTAAACCTCTTGAAAATACATTGTTTTACTATATAAAGATTACGGTTAATGGATTCACGATTAATACTTCAAGATATAAATTCAAGATTGACACAATTTGGTTTAGGGTTTAGAGTTTAGGGTTTAGGGTTTAGGGTTTAGGTTTATGTTTAGGGCTTAGGGTTTAGGGTTAAGGTTTAGGGTTTAAGGTTTAGGGTTAGGGTTTAGGGTTTAGGGTTTAGTGTTTATATTTAGGGTTTAGGGTTTAGGTTTAGTGTTTAGGGTTTGAATTTAGGGTTTAGGTTTAGGTTTAGGGTTTAGTAATGTTCACTTGGATGAAGTTATAAACAATAACTAAGGAAAGAAAACGGAGATGATAAAACGATGATGAAAGAAAGAAATGTTATGGAGAATGATATGTTTACCAAGTGAAACCAAACCGGGTATATTTAGCATGTTAAAACAACATATTTTAAAGGTTTAGTACCTAAGCTTAGGTGGGGCTGTAATGTATATTCCCTATCCCCATATATATATATATATATATATATATATATATATATATATATATATATATATATATATACTCTTGCACATAAACATACATACACAGAAACCTAAATTCCAAACCTTAAACGATGAATCCTTAACTTATACATACCTTAAACCCTAAATCCATATATACGTTAAAGACAAAATTACATAAATGGTCCTCATGGTTGACAAAATCGACCAATTATGATCCTTTGACGAATTCTTTACACCTATGGTCCTTGTGGTTTCAAAATCTTGCAAAGATGGTCCTTTGACTAACGGCGTTAACTTTTTCAGTTAAGTTCTATGTGAAATGACATATTTGCCCTTCATGCATAAGGACGCTTTATGTAATATGTTTCTACCATAGGGACCATTTATGTAATTTTCTCTATTATTTATTATTATTTTTTTATTTTTTAATTATATATTTAAGTATTTAGATTTGTTTAAATTTATTATTTAATATACATATATATATATATATAATATATATATATATATATATATATATATATATATATATATATACACACACACATATAAAAGATTTGAAAAAATAATCTGAGCAAAACGTTAAAAAATGTTAGGATATATATATATATATATATATATGTATATATATATATATATATGTATATATATATATATATATATATATATATATATATATATATATATATATATATATATTAAACAATAAATTTAAACAAATCTAAATCCTTAAACATATAATTAAAATAAATAAAAAAATAATAATTAATAGAGAAAATTACATAAATGGTTCCTGTTGTAGAAACATATTACATAAAACGTCCTTATGCATGAAGGACAAATATGTCATTTCACATCGGACTTAACTGAAAAGTTTAACGCCGTTAATCAAAAGGACCGTCTTTGCAAGATTTTGAAACCACAAGGACCATCTGTGTAAAGAATTCGTCATAAGGACCATAATTGTTCGATTTTGTCAACTATGTGGACCATTTATGTAATTTTGTCTACGTTAAATCATAAACCCTAAACTTATATATATGTTAAACCCTAAAGCCTATATTCACATGCTGACACATATATGTACATATAATAGACATACATATATGTCACATGCACATAGGCATACATACATATGTTAAACCCTAAATTCTATACGCGGATGATTCCAGACACATACATATGTATGATTCCAGACACATACATATGGATATCATACCTTTAACCAGGGACGGAGCTTCAACATTTGATTGGGGGGGGGGGGTCGGAAGTATAATATGTATAAAAATCGGTTAATAGGGGGGCCATGGGAAAAATTCTATATTTTGGGCCTAATATGTACAAAATTAAAGTAGAGGGACTATATGTAACAAAAAAATTTAGGGGGGGGGGGAGGACATCCCCCTCCCCCCCCCCCCCCCTTGCCCCTATAAAGCTCCGCCCTTGCCTTTAACCCCATACTCAGATGTTGAATACACAAACGCACACATACAACTACACATACATGTACATTTATAATAATAATAATAATAATATAATTATAGTAAACCTAATATTAATAAAAACATATAATTATATAATAAAAAAATTAATTATGATAAATCTAATAAAAATAATAACAATAATAATCAAAATAATAGTAACAACTATTGTTATATTTACATTAATATTGTTATAAAATAATTATAATTATATTATATTAATAATAATTTGAGATTATAATTATAATATTTAATATCAATATAAAATAATAATAATAACAATAATAATAATAATAGGAGGAAGTCAAAACAAAAGGATGGAACAAAAAAAATAAAAGGTGGGAAACAATTTCCAGATTCATACTATTATATTTCGTACGAAATTACAACAAAATTTTAATTTTAAATATTAATTAGTATTTCGTTGATATTTTGTAGGAAACTTCCTACGTTTTTCTGACGGAATCTTTAGGGTATCTATTTCCATAGGAAATTTGTATGAATTTTGTTGAATTCTACTTTTATCGTAAGCTTTTAGGAAATTCAACGAATACTTCTTACAAAACACTTTGGTCGGAAATATTTTGTACGTAAAACCAAATATTATTGTAGTGTATAGCTCATGTCCTCCAACTTGAAAACAAAACACACCATCGTCATGGTCAGGCTAGATCATTGAAATGAGTATTGCATAGACGAGTAGTGTGTGTATTTTAGAAATCTAACCATGACCTAAAACATAAAATTATAAATAGGCTATAGGCACGAGAAGGAGACAACCTTTCTCTTATTTTGTCTATGAAGTGCACCTTATCCTCGATGGTTAATAAAGCCAACTAATAACCCTCATTCAAATGACATTTTAGAGAATATAGCTACATATAAAAACACTTGCAAAAATACAATCACACTTGTGCACATACAATTACACTAAGAGGGTGTTTAAGATTGTTTTAAAAACAACTTTTGGATTTTTTACTTTTCAAAAAAGTTAAAAAATACAAAATATATTTGTCAAGTTAAAAGTTTTTTTTAAACAACTTTTGAACAAAAGAAAAAAATGTTGATTTTAAAGGTAACAAAATCTGACTTTTAGGATTTTTATACTTCTTAAAAGCAAGTTTTGTCTTTTTACCATCCAAACAAATTTTAAACTATAATTTTTGGATTTTTTTTTATAAAAAGGATTTAGAGCTAAAAAAAGTTATCTCAAACACCCTTAACATGAATAATATCACAAAGATGAAAAAAAACACACTCATGACCATTCACATACCTGCTGTCTTAAAACACTTATATATTTATCATTTATGTTGATCAGGAGTCACTTAACACTACTTCAATTTTAGTCAAGGAAATGATATTGTGTGTTTATAAAGCTATAATAACAAAACGAAATAACTTGAAAGGATAACCTACTTGCTAGAATTTTCTCAAAACTTGTATAATTGTTAAATATACTAAAAACAAAGGATTATTGATCACTTATTTGCAAGGGAAGGATGTTTGATCATCCGAAGATCCCATGATCAAAAGAATAGGATGATCTTTGGTCTGTGGTGGTGTTTCTCGGCAGAAGGCGGAAGGGAAGGGGATATGGAGGTGGCGGCAGTGGGGAACCGGGAAAACATCACCGGTGATTCTAGTTCTTTGACAGGGGAAGGAGATGAACGGGATGACAGTCATTGAGAAGGCTGTGAAGGGGTATCAGAATAGTATAGCAACAATTTCGAGCTTGTTTAACAGCGGGTGTTGGGGCTGCTACTACCGGCAAAGAATCACCGGTCCTTTCCTTCTTTTTCACTAGTTCTACAATGAGAGTGGGTGTTTTGGGTGATGGATCATCAAGAAGAAAGAGAGAGAGAGAGAGAGAGAGAGAGAGAGAGAGGGAGAGAGAGAGAGAGAGAAAGAGAGCGGTGTACCCGGTTTTATATTTAATAATAATAATAATTTTAAAAAGTGAAAGAAAATGAAAATTAAATTCATTAAGGGTATAATAGTCTTTTTAATTTGGACAGGGACCAAACCTACATGTAAACTAGCTCAAAATGACCACCAATCCAAAAAACTCGTGGTTTGGACCAAAACTCCAAAAAAGTGCATACCACAGTGACCATTTTTTCAATTTTGTCTTAAAATAATTCATATATCATAATTCAATCAAATGAAAAAGAAAAATTGCATAATTGGTCATTCTAGTTTGGTAAAAAGATAAAACTGCAAAAATAATCACAGGGATAAATCCGTCATTTGCCAAAAGTTAATAGCCATATTGTTAAACTTAACGAGATTGTGACAAAAACCGCAAGAAAGCCATCAGATAGGGTCCGTTTTTGCTAATAAAATTTTTTTGGACCTTACCTACAGAAATTGACAAATCGTATGGACCATTTTTGCAATTTTGTCCAAAATATGTTTATCAAGTTAAAAGTTTGTTTTAATCAACTTTTGTGCAAAAGAAAAAAAAGATTGATTTTAAAAGTAACAAAAGGTGAGTTTTGGAACTTTTATACGCAATTTTTATCTTTTTACCATCCAAACAAATTTTAAACTATAATTTTTGGAAAAATACCTTTTACAAAAAGTCGTTTTATAAAAAGGATTTAGAGCTAAAAAAGTTATTAAAAACACCCCTAATATGAATAATATCACAAAGATGAAAAAAAAAACACACTCATGACCATTTACATACCTGCTGTCTTACAACACTTATATATTTATCATTTATGTTGATTAGGAGTCACTTAACACTACTTCAATTTTAGTCAAGGAAATGATATTGTGTGTTTATAAAAGCTATAATAACAAAACGAAATAACTTGAAAGGATAACCTACTTGCTAGAATTTTCTCAAAACTTGTATAATTGTTAAATATACTAAAAACAAAGGATTATTGATCACTTATTTGCAAGGGAAGGATGTTTGATCATCCGAAGATCCCATGCTCAAAAGAATAGGATGATCTTTGGCCTGTAGGGATCTTTTGTCTTATGTTTGCTATTCGTGAGGTTATTTTCGTGAACATCTGTGGTTAGTTTTTAAATCCAATTTGTGCATGATTATCATATAAGGACGAATAACTCAAGAACTCTTTATTTATTGTTTACTAGTTTCTCAGCCTTCATCGGTTTTGGAACTTTATAAAGTTTTGTCGATGAAAATTTAATTGTTTCAATAATAATAAAAATCTAGCGAAGAGCATTTATACAAACTTTTTCAGTTTTTGGCATATTTCCGACGGCAGCAAGAAAGATGAAGTAGCGATACATAACGATTTAAAACATGACTTTCAAAGAGGTTCCCAGTTGAACTGTCGAAATGAAACTGGATATATACATAGAATTTCTAAACAATGTGAAAATCCTAACGCCATAAACCAAAGCGTTTCAGTGTTGCTATATTCAGAAATCGACAATCGTAATTATTTGGTAGACGAGTGATAGAATCGAGACAGAAGACATTCTAAATCCAAACCCAACCAAAGAAAGGAAAGATACTTGTTAATTAAATGTGAAGTACAGCATTTATAATGGTCTCAATTTCAAGTACATATCATTTACATAGGGTCCCAAGTGTCGATTGTCGGAATTAAATTCGGCATAATGAGTATTTGTACAAACTTTTGTTCCTTTTTACAGATGTAGATCGAAGCGAATGGCGTCCTTCAACTTCAAGGCCCATGCTCACGTATGACGTACCGAGTGAGAAAAGCCTGTACGTGTGTTGTTAATAGAAGTTGCAAACTTCTCTGATTATTCCAATTAGACCTCTTTGGCCTACACCACGTCTAGGCCCCCATCCCTTCATAAAAACCATCAACGTACAAGTTACAACTAACCTTTACTTTGAATGAGTGCCATTTATTATCTATATAGGTACTGTGTGTGTGTGTTTATATGCATAGTGGATTGAAGAAGGAAACTGAAAAAAATATAAAGAGCGAAGACATATTTATTTATATCAAAACGGTGTTTGTTAAGATAGAGTGCAGCATGTACATGAACTAAGATTCAAAAGTGCAGAGTTCTAAGGTTCCATGAATCAAGGGTCAAAATCATGCGACTTAAACTCGTAATATAAGGAGAAAGAGAACCAACAATCTCGACCAGTCAATTGCATTTTGACCTCTCTCTCTCTCTCTCTCTCTCTCTCTCTCTCTATATATATATATATATATATATATATATATATATATATATATATATATATATATACACCATTTACAAGTCAAAGATCTCACATTCAGCTATTGGTTGATTTCTTTTCCAGCTAATACTACATGACAATAGGGAACTTTCGAATGGATCAAGTTTTTCAAGAGGACCAAGGAGTAAAATCAAGAAAAATAATGAAGAGAAGGAAGGGTTTTAAACCAACAGCTCCAGTAGTTTTTCTCATTTGGCTGCTCCTACTTTTCACTCATTTTCCTCCATCAACAACAGCGTATGATCACGACCACTCTGTATTCTCTAGTCGGAAACCTAAATTCTTTCAAACATCACCGACACGTTTCCATTTGGTTTCAAGTGAACCGAGGATTGGATTTGGAGCTGCAGGAGAAGGCAGTCTTTATGATGATGACAAACGAATAATTCACACAGGTCCAAACCCTCTTCATAATTAGTTTCACTATCGAATAAATAAACCTTTTAAAGATCCTTGCTGCATATATTCTGCACCAAGTTTGATGTTGTAGACTTGTAGTCGTAGCGAGAGACATATATGTCCTTTGGAAACTATAAGTTTCATAAGTAAAGAGTATTATGTGATGGTTGTCTGCTTCTAAATGGGAAATGCTACTTTTTAGTCATCAAAAACAAAGTTCTCAAATCTGTACTTAGTAGGTTTTAGCAAGTACCTTTTAGTCCATAAAACATTAAAATGCATGTCAAAATATAGTAAATCCTAAAAACACTTGATCTGTTTTTGTTTTGCCATACTGGTTATCATTAACATAATATTGAAATCAAAGAACTCTTGGTTTTACTGAAATTCAACATGATCTGCAATTTTAAATGATATATAGAGAGGGTTAATGATACAATGGCTCCCAATAACTGTGAAATTTCTCTTTGAGTCGATAATCTCTTAATCGTATTCAATAGAGTAAAAATATTTTTTGGCATTTCTATTAAAACACCATAATAGATTTTACGAGTATCTAATCCTACATGACATCAAATATGACATTCAATATGGTAGATGTTCATATTGTGTCCATGTGGATATTTTAAAGTTTAATATTATGATTATAACTATTATCGTTCCTTATTATTATAATCAATGGACAAATCGAAAAATCAAAACTGGTTCGTCAACTTCACTGGATTTGTGTTACCATGGAAACATAGATTTGTGTTGAAATCACCATTATATTCACCGGTTCACCCATCATCTTCATAAACAAACTCTAATTTGATTGATGATTATTATAATAGATAATAACAATAATAATAATTATAATTATTATTATCATAATATTAAAATTTAAAAAATCCAAATGGACTCCATATGGATACAATTTTTGGGGATTGACGGACAAACAAATTACATATCAAAATAACAAGATAAGCACAGATCTTAAACTTAAATTTAACAGTTCCCAAAACTATGATCCAGTTAAAATAATTAAACCAACAATCCTGTAAAATGTTTAGATACTACATATCTTAAAAGTGGAGACTCATTTTCCAAGGTATATCATTAGTGCACAGTAGTTATTAGCCCATTGTTGTATATCATAGGCCCAAATTGTATTTGTATGATGTATATATGTATGCGTAAGTGTGAATGGGAAGTCACTTAAGATTATTGCAATCTATTATGGTGTCAGAGGATTATCCTCCTAACCCTACCTACAGCCACTCTCCTTTTCCACTAATGTGATCGGTTTTTCTTCTTCTCCATTCTCATGGCCGATGACAACCTAAAACCCCTATAGCATCACTAATATTAAAGCTTTTGTTCCCTTGGTTCTTGACTTGAATCAGTTGAACTATGATGCTTGTAGAGTTCTTTTCGAAACACATTGCAAAGCCTATGGTGTTTTCGATCATCTTGATGGCACCTCCAATCCTAAAGACGACAAAGATGGCACAACCTTGATTCCCTTGTTGCCATATGGATTTACGGCACCCTCACTCAACCTATTCTCACTATGGTTCTAGAAAATGTGTACAAGGCTCGGGATGTTTAGAAAGTTCTTGAAGATTTGTTTTGTGACAACAAAGATACGTGGGCAGTAAAAGTAGAAAACGAGTTGTGCTCTATGGTTCTTGGGGATCGACCCATTGTCGAGTATTATCGAAAAACAAATGTTGTCGTTGAGTAATTAGCCAACATCGGGTCTCCCGTTTCCGAGTTTGACAATATTGCCACTCTTATCCGTCATCATGAGCCTCTTCGAAGCTTTCTTCAAGATCGCTCCATGCTTGTTCTTGAAGAACAACGATTTGACTAGACCCGTCCCTCTCCAATCATTCACTCAGACCATTCTTCGAGTTCCCAAGTTCTCCATATCGATGTTGATAGCTCCTGATCTCATCCCTGGGAGAACCCTACCCGTGCTCCAAACCACAACAACAACAACTAAGGACCGCCCCGTGACAACCATTGTAGCCACATCCGTGACAGCTGACACCCATAGCCCTTTGTTGGATGTCTACATCAGTAGAAGTTGCTGCCATCTCTAGCGCTGCATTGGCTCACCTACCTCCGCCTTGGTGGACTCCCTCTCCATGGTATAATTACCAACCGTTGCAACAGCTTCCTACCTCCGTTCGCCACCAATCAACCACTCGACAACAGCCTAAAATCCTTGGACAACCTCTAACATTTGTGGACTAATCCGGATTCCATGTTCCTCAATCATCTACCATGCAAACACTTTGGAATTGATTCACCTTGGTACCAAATGATCAAGCCACATACATCAGTCAAGTCTTTAGGTCTATGTCCCTCCAAGAGCCTAATGATTCTACATGGTTCATCGATGCGGGTGCTACTTCTCATTTAGCCTTAGACTCAGGTATTCTCAATCCCTTTAGTAATAACATATATTAATTCAGTTTTGGTTGGCAATGGTTCCTTTATTCATGTTACTTACATTGGTCACACCTTCATTCCTTCCAAACACGTCCTTTACATTTACATAGTGTTTGAAACACCCAATTTTTTATTACATAGTCAAAGATTAAATGGGGGCAAAGATAAGGTTTTTGGAGAAAATATGATGCCACGACGTGGTGTATGGAATATCACGACATGGAATGACACTTTTGGATCACGTGTACTACTGAACAACATGATATGGCAAGAGAGAGGCCATGATATGGTGGCTACTATAAACCAAGCCCATGATTTTTAAGGTTTCTCCTATATTTAAAGCCTTTAACCCAAGATTAGGGCATCCTCTTCACCCTCCATTACTCCTTTTCAAAACCTATCCTCTCCCCTTGTCTTGTGAGCTCTTTATGATGTTTTGGTCACTTAAAGGTTAAAGGAAGGCTATGTGGAGCTAAGGATTAGGTAGCAAGCTCATATCTATCTCTTGGTGTATCTTTTGGACTCTTATAAGCCTCCAAGTTTTCACATTTTGCTTCATCTTTTGTAAATATAGGTTTTAAGCTCCTTTCCTTTATGGCATGTTGTTATGAATGGTTGGTTTTGATAAAGTTGGCAACTTTATCACTCCTTGGGGTCCCTTGGTCATCATATGGTTCAGATCTAGTCTTTCATGTTGAATGGTGCCATGCATGGAGCTTTGACTCCAGTTATTACCATTTTTGATGTAACCTTGAGAGAGACATGCATTGGAGATGCATGTCTATAAGATAAGAATTTTTATGGTTCATTTGAGGGAAAGGAGGCCGCCTAGAAAGCTAGAGAAAAGGATTTAAAGGATTAACTCCTTAATGAGAAAAATGGCTTTTGTAGTAACCACGACGTGGCCAAGAGGTCACCATGTTGTGGCGGGGTTCAACCTTGTGACTGTTTTGTCCGGCCATGTCCACGACGTGGCTAAGAGGTCACCAGATCATGGTGGCCATTGACTTGGTTGACTATTGACCGCTGAATTTTGAACGGTTTGACCTTGGCTCAAACTTGAAGGATTTGGGTTGTTGACAGAGGTTTGTTCTGTGTTTGGTGTTAGTCGATTCATGGTTCTGATCTATGCAAGGAGCGAGAGTGTTGCTATGCATCTCTGGTTCTTTAGTTCAGGTGAGTTTTTCACTATGTCATGCATGACATTGTATATCCTTTACATGATAGGGTAAAGGTACTATTAGAGTACAATATGCTAGTTAACTAGGATAACTCCTTATTATACATGTGCAGTGTAGGACACTTGGTGTCATGGTATGCTAGACTGATAGAGTCTTGCATGTGGATTATATGACACTGCTAGGTGTCCTAATTGGATAGGGTAGTTATAATATTGATTATTTCTTGAATGATTACTCTACATGTTGTATGTAGTAAATATTAGATAGCCTTAGAATTCTTGGACTAATGCCTGACTGCATGGTTTTTGTTTGATTTATTTCTTTTGGGTGGGTCACTTATTTAACTTTCTATCTAATCTCTCACTATATATAACTTATGCATTGTATGGAAGATCAGGATGTGGCCCCTTTCATTTATATGTAGGACTGGGATTTGACCCTTGACATTACAGGGAAAAACCATGGTGGGAACAATGACAATTCTATGAAGATCAGGATTTGGCCCTTAATAGTTGATTTTGGGTTAGGCCCATTATACTCTTGGGCAGGGCCTGTTATGTATGTTTGGGTTGGCCCCGTTATAATCTTGGGTTGGGGTCGTTACACATGATATATGTATGTATATATAAGATTTGGTTGATTTGTGTTAGAGCTGAGGATTTTATGTGGATGCATTGTATGTATGGTGGAATATGTGTTATACTGGGGAACTCACTTAGCTTTATGCTTACAGTTGTGTATTAATTTTTTTGCAGGTTGTTAATGAGAAGAGCTTAGTGGGACTATACACATGCATCAAAGATATCTGTTTCTGTGGTTTTGTAATTCAACTCTAATAATGTATGGTTTCAATAAAATGAATTTCCATTAAGGGTTTTTGAGATAAAGGTTTCAATTGGTTAATCTATTTTATCAAACAAAAATATCTCTGTAGTTTTTGGGATGTTATAGTGTTCTTGTTACACCCGATATTATCAAAAACCTTGTCTCTTTTCGTAAATTTATTAAGAAAACAAAGTTTCTATTGAATTTGATGAGTTCGTTTTTTATGAAAGACTTACTGATCAAATAGGTTCTCCTCCTCTTTGATAGCACTAATGATCTCTACCCCGCTTTCATGAAGCCACCTGAACCAGTTGCCCTCCTTTCCAACATTCACGCTCTGTGGCACCGACGTCTTGGTTATCCAAGACCCGATGTGCTAGAAAACTTAATTTTTAATAATTTTATTCCATGTAATAAAAATTTAAATTCCTTTTCTTGTGACACAATTCATTTAAGCAAACATTTGTTCTTTTATCTTTTTCTAGTAGAATAGTTCTACTTTTATTTTTTCTAAACCCTTTGCTATCATACACTCGAATTTATGGACATCCCCCATACTGAGTGTTAGTGGAATAAAATATTATGTCCTTTTTATTGATCGTTACTCACACTTTCTTTGGGTTAATCCTCTATGAAATAAATCTGATGTCACAAACAAATTCCTACATTTTCATGGTTTTATCAAAAATCAATTCAAACAAGAAATCAAATCTTTTTCAGGGTGATAATGAGGGTGAATTTAATAATCGTGGCTTTC